AAGAGTGAACTTCTCTGACTAAAAATCCCTTCTGCTCTTAATAGTCCAGCTTTCACTTTTTTTGATTCCTGTGATGTTATCATTTTACTAGTTCTCCCAGTCCTTCCAGTTGAAACAGAAGCTGAATTGCTTCTATGAAAACAAGTTAAATCAAATGCAAAATGTCGGACCTTTTTTTGTCTCAAATGGAAGTCAGAAAGAACACAAGTTTTAATGCTTTTCCTTTGCAGAACTTGTTCTTTGTTAAGCAGGAAGATAAAAGACAGCCTTCCTCCATTTCACCAGTAATAAGCAGACAGGATTAGGAATGCAAAAAAAGAAATGACATGCAAAAAAAGTTCCTGCTATAGAAGTTTCTTGGGAGCCCACAGGACTTGTTAATAGTGCCCCTGTGTTTTTATCAGAGCTGAGGAATACAAGAACTGCCAGACTGATTGGCTGAAACAAGCTGAGAACTATGAGGAGAAAAACAAAGGTGGTTTTCGCAGAATTTATCCCAAACCTGATTCAGACAAATATGATAATTTTTTCCAGCATAACAATTCATTCTTTCAAGAAACTGCTGCTTCCAGGGCACGAGAAGAACATGCCAGGTAAGGAGAGTTTCCAGCTCCAATTTATTTAACTGGGGTAGGTTATGCATACTGAATTAATGTTCAATAATAATAAAATACATCACATGGTACTTTATGTTATGTGACTGTACTTCCTGATATCCCTGCCAGATAAGTGAGTATATGTTATCAATCCTAATTTTACAGGTGATGAAATGGACACATGGGTCACATCCACACTTTCATGGACGTTTGGTTCCCTGGGGACAACTATCAGCAGCACACTTTGTGCCGCCACTGATTGTCCCTGGGGAATGCCTGTGCCATGTGCCCTCTGGCACACAGCAAGTTACCCCGGCTGGAGTAGGAGAGGCTGGGACCAACACTGAGCTGGCTCCCGCAGCCTTACCTGGGGTTCTGGGAGCCTCCTAGGGCCGCAGCAGCAGTGATCCTGCCACGCGAAGCCTGGCCAGCAGCTGCACTGCGGCTTTGGCCAGCCAGGCTCCAGTTTTGAGCTGTGCATACTACCCCTACGTGTGCTGCTCTGCTTTTTTTTTTTTTTTCTGCAAGCTTTTTTTGATCCCTGGATATCCAGGCATCAAAAAACAAAAGCCTGCACTGCTCCCTTACAACGTGGGGAACAACTGAACATGCAGTATGTGGCATCGCAGATGTGTCTCTGGTGCCATGTATGACATGGCCGTGCTTGTCTGGATGTGGCCATGGAAATTGAGTGACTTGCTTGTGAGTCCATGACAAAAAATGGGATTAGAATTCAAGTTCCTGAATCCAGCCCTGAGCTCAAACACATGGATCTGCTTTGCATCTAGATCTGGCCAGTCTTGTTCCAAACCAGAATTAGTGGACAAGACCAGGTGGGACTTGTAGATGATGCCATATACTATTAGAACCATTTTTGAATCTCATTTGTAACTTTGCCTACAGGGAGCCCACAGGACTTGTTAATAGTGCCCCTGTGTTTTTATCAGAGCTGAGGAATACAAGAACTGCCAGACTGATTGGCTGAAACAAGCTGAGAACTATGAGGAGAAAAACAAAGGTGGTTTTCGCAGAATTTATCCCAAACCTGATTCAGACAAATATGATAATTTTTTCCAGCATAACAATTCATTCTTTCAAGAAACTGCTGCTTCCAGGGCACGAGAAGAACATGCCAGGTAAGGAGAGTTTCCAGCTCCAATTTATTTAACTGGGGTAGGTTATGCATACTGAATTAATGTTCAATAATAATAAAATACATCACATGGTACTTTATGTTATGTGACTGTACTTCCTGATATCCCTGCCAGATAAGTGAGTATATGTTATCAATCCTAATTTTACAGGTGATGAAATGGACACATGGGTCACATCCACACTTTCATGGACGTTTGGTTCCCTGGGGACAACTATCAGCAGCACACTTTGTGCCGCCACTGATTGTCCCTGGGGAATGCCTGTGCCATGTGCCCTCTGGCACACAGCAAGTTACCCCGGCTGGAGTAGGAGAGGCTGGGACCAACACTGAGCTGGCTCCCGCAGCCTTACCTGGGGTTCTGGGAGCCTCCTAGGGCCGCAGCAGCAGTGATCCTGCCACGCGAAGCCTGGCCAGCAGCTGCACTGCGGCTTTGGCCAGCCAGGCTCCAGTTTTGAGCTGTGCATACTACCCCTACGTGTGCTGCTCTGCTTTTTTTTTTTTTTCTGCAAGCTTTTTTTGATCCCTGGATATCCAGGCATCAAAAAACAAAAGCCTGCACTGCTCCCTTACAACGTGGGGAACAACTGAACATGCAGTATGTGGCATCGCAGATGTGTCTCTGGTGCCATGTATGACATGGCCGTGCTTGTCTGGATGTGGCCATGGAAATTGAGTGACTTGCTTGTGAGTCCATGACAAAAAATGGGATTAGAATTCAAGTTCCTGAATCCAGCCCTGAGCTCAAACACATGGATCTGCTTTGCATCTAGATCTGGCCAGTCTTGTTCCAAACCAGAATTAGTGGACAAGACCAGGTGGGACTTGTAGATGATGCCATATACTATTAGAACCATTTTTGAATCTCATTTGTAACTTTGCCTACAGGCAGCAGCTACAGGAACTGAAAATGAAGCAAGAGCAGAAAACTTTACGGTTAAGAGAGAAGAAGGTTGAGCTGCAGGGAGAGTCTACGCGTGAGAAAATAAAGCGTTACAGAAAGAAGCTAGTATCTAGAGCAGCTACTGCACATGGCTTAAGGCAGGTATGCTTTAGAAAGAAGAGTTGACTGAGTTTTCATTAATAATGCTGCTATCAGTGTGTGGGGGCAGGGAATAGAAGCCTCCAAGGCCAATCTGGAACATCCATCAGAAAATAAATGAGCTAAAATACAATGATACGCAGTGGCATAACCAGGGCATGGCACCCAGCCTGGTCACTGACTTGGGGTCTTGGGGAAGAGATGGAAAAAAAACTGCTGGCACCATAGCCACACAATCACACCAGTGGCACAGTGTCAACCAGAAGTCATTGCTCCTATGTGTGGCAGCTGCCCCAGGCACCCAAGACGCATCATTACATCTCTGGCAGCGGGCACATTCTGCACAAAAAGACACCACTGACAACATTTGCTCACAAAATGTAATTGTTCTGTCTGCAAGCCAGTGAGGACCCTGGTCTATTAATTTGCAGTCATTACCTGGAGGCAAATGTATCTCCAGTCTGCTACCATATCAGTTTTGTCACCTGTATTTGGACACAAAAAACATATTAAAACACTGCTGAAAACAAGATGATTGTTGCTTGGTTTTCCCTTATGGCCAAGTCTGCTTAGTACCAGGGAATCGGTTACAGCATCACTTAGTGCAACTTGGGTTTTCTCTAACTTTTAGGCCAGTGGAGGATTATTGTAGTGGAGCTCTGCTGTCCTGGGCCAAACACCCAATATGCATTATTCCTCCTACAGCATGTTTGCTGTACCAGAACAGGCAGTGAGGTTATCTGTCACTAGATCACCTTCCATTAGGCTTGCACCAATAGAGTTCTCCTCCATAAGGGCAATTCTTTACTTGCCATTCCCAACCAGAATCTGGCTTCCTTGCATTGCTTGTATCAGGAAAACTGGTCCAATGTCACCTTGGGGTAACTTCACTGCTCCTTATTCATGTTGAATTTATTTTGTTCCTGTGCTCAGCGTTGTCTTTGTTCTGAGGCAAACCTAGCACTCTCCTCCTACTTCAGAGAGCCCTGGGAGAAAAAGCACCAAAGATGCAGATAGTTGGTGGGGAATCAAGCATCCCACAAAAAGGACACAGTGGGTCCTGCCTGGATCCACCTGCACGTGAAAAGCAAAATGTGAGACACTACAGTTCTGCACCAGACTTGATAAAGAAGATCTCTAGTAGTATGCAGGACCAGTATGACTCTAAACCAGACCTGAGAGACCATACAGAGCATAATCATCATTCCACAACAGATCTGAACATCAGATTAATGGTAAGTAACAGAATACTGGTAGGTCCATAGTATGTAGGACTGTCTATAATTGTAAGTTAAGTCCGTTCTAACTCATGTTTTGGCAGCCTTTACAATTCCTTTACTCCACTAGAGTGATATCAAGGGGCCTTAGCATGAGAGAGAAGCAAGACTTTAATTTCTAAAATAATGATCAGTGTACAAATTCCACAGAAATGTGCTGATCCTATGAACTACCATGCTCAATCTGTGCCCTGCCCCATATCAGTTTGATCTTCTAATCTTCCCCCCTAGCTCAAAACACCAGCAGATTTTTCCACATTATCAAATACATCTGGTCATTCTTCAAAACCTTCCGCAATGGTGACACAACTTCGAGCTGCAGTCACAACAGCAACTGATGTAGTTTATCATGGAGGTGCAGCCATTCAGAATCTGATGCCATTTGGATCTGAGAGAGATCACCAGCCTCGTCTCAGGGAGAACTTAGTCTCACATGCAGAAGGCCACAGAACCCAAGGAAATCCCTTACGGACTGAACTGGAAAAGACTCCTGTCCTAATGTCAAAATTCTTCAGCAAACTCTATTTCATACCAGGAGAGAAGGCCGTAACACTCCCTATGCACCAGCATCACCACACTTATCTCACCAATAGAACACGTGAGTGCTATTTTCACACAATATGTTTGCATCTTAAAATCTAGGTTAATGTCCTGGTGCATCTCTATGGAAATAAAACTATAATCCCATAACATATTTCAAAAAACATGTGATTATATTAGGGCTGTGCGAAACGGCTGTGTTTCGATTTGGTTTCGGATTCGGCCGTTTCAGAGGACAGCGATTCGTTTTGGTGTTTCGGATCACTGTCTTGTTTCTTTTTGGCCAAATCTCCCAAATCTGTTCTGAACGGGCTGCAAGCTTTGCACAGCCTTACCCAGCTGGGTGGGCCATGGGGCTGGGGGCTTCGGGGCCCCAGCAGGGAGCCAGGACGGGGCCATGGGTGGCTCGTCTAGGGGAGGGGGAGGGCCGCTGCCCTCCATACAGGCAAGGAGACCCCCACGTGGATCTCTGATCCCTGTCACACTGGGTTGTGGGGTAGGAAAGCAGGGCAGAGTGGCGAGCAAGCCTGCTGGTCCCTGTTGCACAACTCTGCTCTGCAGGGAGCAGAGATCCATGCCAGGGTCTCCTCACTGCCGCTGCCCACCCCATGCAATCCCGGACCCCTGCTCCCTGCAGAACCAGGTCACGTAGCAGGGACCAGCACTGCCCTGCCGCACAACCTGGCGCCACAGGGAGTAGAGATCTGTGCCTGGGTCTCCTCATGGCTGCTGCCCGCCCCATGCAGCCCCACGTTACCAAGGCAGGCAGCAGTGGCAAGGAGACCCCCGGTTCAGATCTCTGCTCCCTGCGGAGCCGAGTCGCACAGCAGGGCAGCAGCATACAGCTGTTACCCTCCAAGCCTGGCTCTGAAACTCCAAAATTTTCCAAAACGTTTCAGATGTCTCATTTCATTTCGGAGATGTTTTTTTACCTTCCACTTTGATTTGGATTCGGTGTTTTGGGTGCCGAAATGGCCTGAAGCACCTCTGAAACAAAATGGCTGCCAAAATTTCACACGGCCCTAATGTTTAGATGCAGTTTTGATTAGGATGAATATAGTTGATTTTGCCTTGGAGCAGGAGCAGATGGACTTACTGAAGTCATTTCTCTGATTCTGATTATTAGATCACAAGAGGAAGTTCTAGTATTATCTTCAGCTCCATCTTAGTTTAAAACTGTAACAGAGCAGGTCTTCTACATTTGCTTCTCCAGTCTATTCCTTTGTATCTGAGCTTCAAGAGCCCAGCCATGGACTGTAGGAAGAGAAGCTGGGGATGCCCATTGAGTTCAAAATGTAAATCAGAGTTTTGTTTACACAGAAAGTGCGATGCTCTTTAGGAGAACCCAGCTGAGCAGCAGAATCTCTACAGGCAAGAAGCAAACAGAATATCAGAATGTTCAGACAGCATTCCAAAAACCAAACCATCATCGCTTTAGTTTTCAGGACCTGTTGGTTATTTCCAGCCCTGCTCAAATGGACCAACGACCTGCAAAAAGCAATAATGTAATGTCAGGGGATACTGCAATGGGTAGGTAGTGGTTCTAATCACTGTGATTCCTTACTGTAGAAAGGAAGAACACTCTGGTCTCCTTCCAGGGACATCCTGTAGATTGCAAGCATTGAAAAATTAGCCTTCTGTGTGCTTGGTCATTTTCAGGACATGAGATCAAGTTATTGCAGGAAATGGTGTTAGTGACTCAGTGGGCACTTCTACATGAGACACTTAACACACAATAGCCTAATAACACTGTGCAGTAGCATGCTGGGCAAAAAGCATGCTAATATACTCCTGTGTGGTGGTATTAGGCTACTGCACAATAAGCATCATTAAAAAACCATGCACCAGTGCTTCTGTGCAGTAACTGTAGTCACTGTGCATTTAGTTAATACTTCATTAAGCAAGTACTAAATTAAATGTGCAGTACTTATTGTGCATTAATGAACATGTTGATGTGCCCAGTAGGTCATAGTTTTTTCTCTGAGTCAGCACTGTATCCATGTTTTAGGATAATGAAGGAATTGTAACATGTTCTGTGCAGTTAGTGGTATCAGGTAGAATTTTAAAAAGTGCTGACGTGACTAAAATGATGCAGGAGTCAAAAACCTCACTGAAAGCTCTTAAGCATCTAAGTCAGTTTGGTTTATGAGTCTTAAATTCCCAAATCACTTAGACCATATTTTAAAGATCTTTTAGGTACTTAAAGATACAGATGGACACTGAGAGAAAGAAATGATCTCAGATTTAGGTGTCTAGGCCCTTTTAAGAATCTCACCATGTCCTTTATTCATTTTTAGAAGACTATATATCTTAAAAAATGGGCTTTTAGGCAGCCAAAAAATTTTAGCCATCACCTGTTGCTGATTTGTAACACCAAAGCCTATAACACATGGTCTTGTTTAAAATGCCATGGCACTTTTTGCAGCACTATAGGGTGTTAGCTTCAGCATCCATGTCCATTTCCATGATGAGTCACTACATACTGGCTTCCTAGATTCCTGCCATAGTTTCAACTGGATAAATTATTTTTCACTTCTCTTGCCTCAACAATATTGCAAATTTTAGCTACTGTGTAATGCTTGCAGCATTTCATTGTTTGGTGACCAGTTGCTCTGTATGCATTGCTCTGGGCTCCTTTCAAAAGAAACAGGTATAACATATTCATATCATGATTGGCAGTCAGCACCTTATGATACAAGTCTGCTTTTGGAATAGCAGTAAAATCACACTATGATCTGGGATGAGCTGGCACCACACAAGGTACAGCCTACAGCAAGGAAGAGGGGGTGTTATTGTATCTCATTGGGGTCCAACCTTTTTGGTGGGCATGCCGCATATTAGCCCTACACCCTCTCCAAGTGCCACTTCAATTCCTTTCCTCTGCCTGATCTGCTGCTTGGCTTTCTGCATCCTACCCTGTGCTCCCTACCTGATCTGTTGTTCTGCTTTCTTCTTGCTGCCCTAGCTGCAACTGTGTTTGTCCCCTCCTTGACCTGCTACATGCCACACACATGGGCTGCATGTGCCACTTGTGGCATGCATGTTGCAGCTTGACCACCCCTGTTCTGGATTTTGCTGGGGAGTGTACTACCTGCCAGAGCAGCCTACGGTCTAGAGAGCACAACAGAATCCCTATAGCAGTGTGTGCTAAGCTCTTTTACTTCCCATAAAGGGCTGTTAGGAGGTCCTCTTTAGACAAACCCTACACAGGGATTCTCCCAACCATATCAAGCTGTTTTTAGATCATTTACATTACTGGAGAGGTGCAGCCGGGCTGGAATGGAATACAGAGTTGTCCCTTCTGTTGGGCAGGTAAGTTGCATTATTCTGTGTGTGATACCTGACTCATGATTTATTTACTTGGTATGAGCTATAGCGAGTCAGAAAGGAGAATACTGACAATGAGGCTGCTGGCTGCTCGTGCTGCCTTCACTTCATCCATCATATTTACTATAGGAGTGTCTGTGCAAAACATTTTTAGATGAATTTATCTTTGTCCACCTAACAAGGATATGTCTGTACTTCAACCTGCAGTTTGATGTAGACAAACTTGAACTAGCGTTAAACAAGCTTCTTGGCAAGAGGTATTTAACCCACATAGAACTCCATAGATCCAGATTGCTTCCAGTACTTGAATCTAGCTCATTTAAAGCAAGATTAGATATCTCTACAATATTCTACAGGATGCTGTACTGCCATATCAGTCTGCTTATTATTGCATTTCTTTCCTTACAGGGTTTGAGCAGAACTCTTCCATGCATCACTGTTTGCCTTCTAAAACCTGAAAGGTGCTCCCTCCTACAGACAGAGCTGTTCATCATGAACTGACAGAACCATTTTGTTTCTTCTTTTTAAATATACTCATTGGTGATTGCTTCCAGTAAACAGCTTCTATCGTACAAAATTATCAATCAGTGGGTGAGCCATGATAGTTGCCTTAAAAAAAAAAAAAAGTCAGGAGTTCATAGATGGTCAGACATGAAACTGTTTTCCTGGCCCCTGATGTATATCTGTATGGCTTTGTGCCTGATTACCATCAACTCTTATTTTGTTCAGTTCTTTATAAGAGTGACAGTGTGGTGTCTGATTCAGTTAGCTGAATGTCATCCATCGAGAAAGAAATTACCTGCATTGTATTTCAGTTGTACTACACTTTTTAATGTCAGATTGAACTACACAGCTGAATCTTTGCATTGCATTTTGGAAATCTAAACCCCACTGTGTATATGACAAGTTGATTTTAGCTGATGTAGAATGAACGTATAGTCATGGGTCTTAACAAGAGTTTAACAGTGGTACAAAGGGTAGGAAGATAGGAGTGTAGAAGGGCCAGATGCAAAGGAAGGCTGAAACAAAATGATCCCAATGTGATGCTACACATTTCTGGATTTTGAAGTGCTTATATTTTATATTTCTCTGTTGGGAGCCACACATTGTGTACTTATGTTAGAAAATGTTCAGCCACTCTCACAGGTGCCTCCTGTGGGCCCAGTTTCCATCTGATCAGTGGCAATGAGGCCTAAAGTATCTGAGGGAAGATACCTCATGGAAAAAGGCTATTTCTGTGTCGGGCTGAATTTATGAACAGGTAGATTTGTTTTTTGATGCTTTAACAAAAATATATATTAAAATAAAGTTAACAACAATGGCTACATTGATAATAATGCTGAAAGCTGCAATGCAGAGTGAATGGATGGCTGAGTGCACCTAAGAATGTGGGTAGGAACAGGATAGGAAATGGAAGTACTGCTGATAAGGAACACACATATCTCTGTTAAAGATGTGCTGAGATCAGTAAGAATAGAAATATAAATAAAAGAATGACGATTCTCCAGGATAGACAAAAAACTAGCTTGAGGAAGCGAGATCAAGATGGTAACATCTATTTATTATTGTACGATGCTTAAAGATGTGCAAAGTGCTTTATGATGCAGGGAGGAAGGCAAGGGTCCCGGCTTGAAGAACATATAGTCTCATATTAGACATGACAGAACAAATGAGCATCATTAAGAGGAGGTGAGGAAGGTCAGTAATTTTAGCAACAAGATTGTGTGGTTGGTTACTTGATTTAGTCATTTCACCTCTTGGAATTTCAGTTAGTATGACAAAGTAGTGTGTTTTGTTTTAGTAGCTAATTTTCTTATTAATAAGTATGGAGTCCATAATGGTGGGTGTTATAAGAGGCTGTTTTATACTGGTGTTCTCTTTATGATCTGGGATCTTTAACAGTAGTAGGTAGGAGGTATCTACACGAGATGCTAACTGCGCAGCAGCCTAATAACACAGCATAGTAGTGTGCCGGGCAAAACCCATGCAAATACACTACTGCGTAGTATTAAGCTACTGTGCAGTTAGCATCTGCAAATACCCATGCACCAGCGCTACCCAGCATTGGTTTAGTACTTGGTTATCCAAGTACTAAACTTAATGTGCTATAATTAAGGTGCATTAATGAATGTGATGTACCTGGAATGCTCCAAGAGAGATCATTTCATTCTCTTTTAATCTTAAAGTTACTGGTCTTACACTTAGGAATGTGCAGAGATTGCTCAAAGGAGGACAAATTATTTTAATTTCTAATCCCCCAGCTGCCACTGTTCCATCACACACATTCAAGGTGTGATCCAAGTTGAGATGCTTGTAAAAAAAGATACTGTAGGAAGGGCTTTATGGACCATGACTTTTGCAACAGCCAGTTTCTTTGGACTTGCAGACCAGTTTTCTGTGGTAAGAGTTGGTTGGGCTGTTGCTGAGGCATCATCACTTCAAAGCAATCTCTTCCTCAGAAGCACCAATGATACATATGGGGTCCATTTCCTCTGGGAATGGCTCAAATTTTTGTGAACTGCTAACAGTGTGTTATGCCAAGCGGGGCAGAATAATATCTGATTTCATGTTAAAGGGACTTTTGGGAAAAAAAAAATTAAAAAACCTGTTGAAGATTGCATGCCATTTAGAGGCTATGTATGAGCTTGAAATGTACAAATAAATGTGTGGGGTTTTTTTAAATAAGGTTTCTGGAAATCCCATTTCTTTGTGAGGCTCTGATCTAGAGACTACAAATTTTCTCTGCTAACAGTAATAGAACTGCTGTCTAGTGCAAATGTTATGAATTTTTGGTAACATTTGGTATTAATTAAGGTGATTTTCTTATTTGCAAATAGTGAGGGTTTTTTTGTTTGTTTTTTCATGTTGGGGATCTCTTTTTTTGTTTACAAAAGCTTAACCTTTACACTATTAGTACATAATTTGGTCTACAAAAGCATTTTAGAAAGCTGATTGAATAATATTTGATTGACTGGGGCAATTTCCCCCATTAGTCAGCAAATCAATTGTGTGAATTTCTCTCAGATACTCAACCAGCAGTGGTCGTCATCATCATCATCAAGATAAATATCTTTATCTGCAGGCTTTCAGTAGGGGTGTTTTGGAGATGAAGGTGGCACATGTCTAACTACAGCTTGATAAATTGGATGTGATCATGTTTTGAGAGCAGTCAGAATACTCTGATAAGTAACTCTGAAACCAAGTAATAATTACATTTTGCAAATACTTTCTTTAAATGATCAGAGATTAAAATACACTTGAAACATCCTATCAAAGATATTCATTGCCACCACTTAAATAAAATAAATACAGGGAATGATCATAGTTATAAAATACACTAGTCCTTCTGTTGACTAATTAGTTGAGACTGAAGGAAAACGTCATAAATTGAAATAATAGAGAGATGCATTTTGTGAATGCACAGCATCACACACAAACATAGTATAAAATGAAGCATTTTTATTTTAAAGGACAGTCTGCAGCTGCATGGCAAACAGAGAATGCTTGTAATTAGCACCTGCTCCATGAATACTGCCTTAAGCCCTTTGTCTTCCATCTACAATAGTTAAAGGATGGCTTACTGTATATCTGTTTTCTTCATCTGCTGTTTCAATGAATGTATGAAGCACCACCTCTTATTCTGTCTTTAGAGCCAAGATTCATAGTCTTATTCAGGCCTCTCTGTTCCATTTAGTAACTGGTCGGCCTAATCATGCCTGCCTGCCTTCAATTCTGCTCCTATTGAACAAAGCAGCTCTCTTCCTCCCCATCCCTTGAATTATTCTCATATCATTTTTGTAAGGCCTCTGCAAGATAAGTGTCTGATAAAAGAACAAGTGTTAAGAAGGGAAATAGCTTTCAGAACATTAAACCACGGAAGATTTGGGATAAAGGTATACTCCAGCAGATTTTCAGGCCCTGGTTTTAATCCAGCAAAACACCCACTTAAGTAAGTATACTCTTAAATGTATACATGATCTGAAGCACATCTGCAGGACTGGGGACAGAAAGCTCAGCAGCATGTCAGGCTGAACCACCTAGGACTCACACATACCTTGTCATGTCCTTAAGGCTTTGCTCTTAGTGTCTCTTGATGTGCACACAGGCAAAACCTCTGAGTCAAGTATGAGGTAGCTTTTCAATAGAGAACGCTCTTCAGCAGCTCACGTAGAGAAGCTGTCTTCCTAAAGGATCTCTTAGTCTGAAACCTTTACCACTAAACCCTCTTACACTCTCACAAATAAAGGAATTGCATTCATCACCAACATAAAAGTTGATCACAAAGGAATGAAACTTCCATGCTTTTCAAATTAACCTGTAGCTTATTTAATGCAAAAAAAAAAAAAAAAAAAAAAGATTACATTGTCCATGTTTCATCTACAAAGTTAACTGGCCCCTTATTGCATCAGATCACTCCAGCCACCTGAATATTGCACTACCTATGCTGTGTTGATTCACTATATATATATTCACTGTGTTGATTCACTATAACAGCACACCTTTAAAAAAAAAAAAAAAAAAAGTTTAAAAAAAATAAATGCCAATAGGAATTCAACTCCTAACTCCAATTTGAAACTTTAAAAACCTCCCTTGTCATTCATAGCTTTCTTTATTGGATTTAATTCCTGTTATGTTGTTGGAGATATTTTCTCTGCCAGTATCAGTTCTGTCCCACTTAATTACACATGATTTGAAGCACATGGGAAATAAATGCCCCATCACCACTTTTTGGTTTGATTTTTTTTGGGGGGGGGGGGGGGGGGGGTTGTTGGTTTTTTTTTTTATATTACCTAGTTTTATGTTAGAGTTAAGTCTGATAGAGCTGAATTTGTCTGTGGTGCTATAATTTCACTGACCTCAGCAATGTTGCACCAAGGATGAATTTGGTCTATGCCATCAATCTGATTTTTGAATCAGTTGGTGTTACCTCTGTTTAGCCTTGTTGCGAGACAAATGTGTCTGAGTTTCAAGGAAAAACATTCCACTACAGAATATACCTAAAACCTTTCATATTTTTAATACAGCTGGTTGCTGACTAATTCAAAGTCATTTTGCTGCCCTGAGTCCGTACTAGCTCCTGTTTAAAATAATTCTAATAATATATCAGTGCGTGGAAACCACTTCTACAGGAAGCCTCTAACCCTATTTTAAGGACAGCAAGCTAGAGTTGAGATTCATTTGGATTCATAAAGGGCTGAGTTGCTGTCTTGCTTTTTTCCAAGATCTTTACTCTCAGTGTAATGACAGGTGGTGGGGCAAACTCCTGGGGACTGATAGAGAGAGGGATATTGGAGAGTGGGAAGGAAATTTGGTACCAGGAAAGGTGGAGGGAGAAATGATAGGTTATCCATAGGCCTCAGAAATGTTAGGAAGGTGCCTAAGTACTTGGAAGTAGAGAGCTGAGACGGTAGAGGGTAAGATATACAGGAGGTCTGGCTCATGGACCTGTTTAAGATAGGGTCTAGAGGAGGAAGCCAAGGCAGACAGTATCTCTTCCTTTTATCTTTCATCCGTCGGTTCTGGAACCACACCTGTGTAAAGAAACAATAATTCTGTGTACTTCCATAGCACTGTCCATTAAAGCACCATGTAAACATTAGTAGGTCAGGCCTTGCAACCCTACCAAAGCAGAAGGCAGAGGGGAGGGTTGATGTGGATTTTGTTTTCAGATGGGGAAACTGAGGTACAGAGGTGGGCTAGCAATAAAATTGTGGTTGGCAAAGCTGAGACTCTTTCAGTGTTGCACAGTCACAAACAGAGTGCAGAACAGAATCCAGATTTCTTCAGTATTAGGTACCTGCTTGGATCAACTCCTGCCTTGGTTTATGTCCTACTCCAAAATGTTTGTCATGGAATTTAATAAACAAGGATGTCACTTAGAAAATGCTTCAGTTTATATTGTTTCGTGGGCAAAGCAGGGGAGCCTATGGCCTTTACGTTCTGGGGTCTTCGTCTGACTAGTCTCCAAAATGACAGTTTACCTTGATGGTGCTTTCAGGTAGATTCAGAGCATTGGCCAATTCATACCTCCTGGCCCTGGATAAGTAGCTTTCTTTGGAGTATTGCTGCTCTAGAATTGCCAGTTGCTCCTGGCTAAAAGTGGTCCTATGTCGGCGAATATGGTCACCCGCTGAAGTTGAAAGTGGCAGCTTCTGGGCCAAACTCTTCTTCCCCAGTTTAACATCACTCCCTGGGTCACTGTTATCCTGGGTTGCTGAAGAGATACATCAGAGAGACACTGAGGAAACACACGAGAGTGACTTGAATCAACACTCCCATTTAGGCATCTAAAAATCTGTCCTCTTGGTATAAAAGTGCCCAGCAAACAGCACCTAATATTTTCAAAGGACCCAAATGTCAAGAGTTCAGCACACTGGCAGTAGAGTGGGTGCCCAGTTCTACCAGGGGAGAAAAGTCCATGATAGAAGTAAAACATGGGAAAAATTAAATCTAAATGGAAGCTAACCCCTCTGAAGATCTGGCTCCTGAAATTGCCAACTACTTCAAAATCTGTCCTGGCACTCATATGAAAGTTTGGCCCTACCATAGTCTCTGAAATGTGCCCCTGTAATCTCCAAGTACCTTTGAAAATCTAGCAACTTCATTTAAATACCTGAATCAGAATGACTCTCTTTAATGAAAAGGAAAACTTGGCCATAAGCAACTATAATAACTATACCTTTTTATTTAACTTGGGGAGAATTGGTCAAGCTTACATTACCAAAAAAAAAAAAAAAAAGGCACCATCAACTTGTCTGGCTACAAAGCACATTTTCAATAAGTTTATGCTCTAACAAGCTGTATCAGTTTCATCTCACTACATCTGATGGTTATTGAACAGTGTTTAATGTTCTGGAGGGTGCCAGGCACATAATTGTTTTTACAACACTGTAAAATGAATCAGACTGAAATTAGTGTCACTCGGCAGAAGCATTTCCCTTTCCTTTAAATTACTTGATCTGAGGGTTAATCAAAAAGAAAATGAAGTTTTGACACTGCCCTTCAGCTAAGGGCAAGCAGAGGTTCAGTTGCTTCATTGCATCTAGCTACAAAAGAGTATCTTAGAATCTCCATACTTACGCATGTGGGAGACAATCCTGATTACTTCCCAGCTGTGGGTCCCAGAGTGGAATGTGTGTGGTGACTTCTTTTTAAGCGATCTGCCTTCAAACAATGAAATACTTTGCCTGAAGTATTTGATGCTGCTTCCAGTGTGTATTGCCTACAAAATCAAAACCAGAAAAGAAATGCATAGAACAGAGAAATCTGGTGATGAAATTGGGTTGATGAGACCATTTTCCTGGAGAAAGGTTTTAGAATAAGGAGGGAAGGGGGGCTGCTCCTACCCTTTTTAAAGCCCAAAGAGGTTTCTGTCCCTCCCCTGGCGCCACCTGGGCTCAGGGGGGGGCTGAGGAGGTGTGAACTGCTAAGATAGCCCAGATCTCCCATTGTATTGAAAATCAGATGCACCTCCTTGATTTCTCTTGTATAAAGCAGCTCCCTGCTGAGATAAAACAAACCTCCATTGTTCTGCTCTCTTTGATGTGTGTATCTTGGAAGCAATTCCTATAAACGTCTCTGCCTTGAAGGCTTTTAAGTCTTACTACATATGACTATTGCCTAGTTCTAGTCATTTATTCTCTGTAGCAGTTTTATTGTTATTTTTAACTCCATCATATTTTTTGTGTCTGCAGGTTTCAGTGGCATTTATTTGTATGCACATTTTTTGGAATATCTTCTGGCTGATGGATTGTCTCAGTAAGTGAGCTGGGGAAAATAGAGCGATCATGAGTAATAATGTTTATATGCAGCAGTACCATCAACCAGCAGCTCTGAGGGCTTCTTGTCTAGACTAAGCAAATTTGCACTGTTGTAACCCCACACAAGCCACTAATGTTGCCAGTCTGCACCGGTGCAAAATGGAATTTAGACCTTGTCTACATGTGAAAGTTGCATTGGTTAATTTGGGTTGTTTTTTAAATAAAGAGCGGTAAACTGGTGCAGATTTCTGCATGGGTTCATTCAGAGTATGTCCATATGGCAAAATGAAGTTGCAGTTGTACCATGGGCAAGTGTAACCCTGCCTGCTTTAACCTAGTGAGCATAGGTAATGACAGAACTGAAGACATGGTAGTGTAGGGTTCAGCAATGCCAAGCAACTACAGTTGCAGCCAAGGTTCATGGATGGTTTGTATTCTGCTTTATCACCTTTGCTGAAGTTTGTGCCAACCCATCTTTGCTGCTATTGCTACCCAAGCTAGCTAGATGGAAGCAAGCAGTGCCGTAGCAATGAAATTTGGTGGCTGAGGCAAAGCCTGCAACAGCAACCCACCCTCACCCTGCACACAGATCCGGGGGGCACATGCCCCCCATGCTTGCCTGACAGTGCACGCAGTAACAGGAGCTGCCTTTCCCCCATTCCTGTGTCTCCCACCCCACACCAAATGAGCCACTCGGGGCTCTGTCCTGTGCCCTGCCCTGGATGGGCAATGCCTGTTGGTGCCCCTTTGCTTCAGTACCTGGGGCAGTCGCCCTGCTCACACCCCCCCTTGCTTTGGCACTGGAAGCAAGCACAAGTGCATCTATTCAGACTCCAATCACACTGTTATCTGCTGTATAGAAGGCAGGGTCAGTTTGCATTTTATAGACTACCTAAATCAAAGATATATAGCATAAGCTTTTGTGAGCTAGAGCTCAGTGCATCATCAGATGCTGTGAAAGGACATGCACAAAACAGTATATAAAATGGGGAGAATTATTTGAATATAAAAGACAGGAAGGGAGGGGGGAGGGGGAAGGAGGCAATGCTGGGAAAGGCAAATAAGCAATAAATCCTTAGGCTAGGTACAGGCATTCAAAAAGTCGGAGGTGGATTCAATCTAAGTTATGTAGTTTTCTGTAAGCGATGTAGTTTAGATTGGTGGTAGCAAACAGAATACACATTTGCCTTTGGGATGGGGAGGCAGAAATCTTAGACCATTTTTTAATTAGTTAATGTGTGCTGGACTTCTATTCTATCATGAGCATAGACCTTTGTGTACTGAACTTCTGTTCCGTCATGGGTAAAAAGCAGTTTCCAATCACTTATACCAATAAAAGTACCTAGTACTTTTGTAATGTCTGTACCTAGCCACAGGGACAAAGGGGTTACAAATGCTAATCCAGGTAATGGATAAGAATGCAGTCCCTGTTTAGACCATACTTAACACAATCCTGTCTGTGGATGATTTTTTGTTGCACAATTTCCCATTCAAGTTGGTTTCTAAAATTTGCTGTGTAAGCATATCCTTATGCCAATGCAAGGCTCTGTTTATTAGGAAGAAAGATAATAGGAAAGGCTGGAAGAGACCTTACAGGGTCATCTAGTCCAGCCCCCTGCTCAAGGTAAGGATTATCCCTGACTAAATCATCCCAACCAAGTGCCTGTCTAACCTGCTCTTGAAAACTTCTAAGGATAGAGATTCCACAGTTTCTCTAGGTACTCTGTTCCAATGCTTAACCATCCTCATAGTCATTGATGTTTGCTTATCCTGTGTTATCTAACACTTGCCTAACTACCATGAAGTAAAATCTTGTTGAGGACAGGGCATGTAGATGGCTTTGGCCATGTCTACGCTATAGGGGCTGCTACTTTAACTACAGCAACAATGGTATAACATCCAGCCTTGATGTATACATGGTTGTGCCAGAAGACAGCTTCTGCTGACAGACCTGCATCTGCATGAGTGGTTTTCCTAACAAAGCTATGTTGACTGTGGGATGTAATCTTTCAGGTAAATTCTTGGCTTCTTACCAGTGTTCGCTTTGCACTCTGGACTCCAGTGGAAACTACTAACACCTTCTCTTCATTAGGATTTCCCCATGGGATAGCTAACATGATAAGAAATACCATTTTTCCTAGCGAGAAGCAGCTTATCCTGATTTAGCTTAAACCTATTCCGAGTTGATTCTGGCTATGTCTGCATTGCAAAAAGGAAAAGGAAAAGGGTGCATTTTGACATTGGGAGAATTACCTTGATCTTAGTGGAAACAATGTACAGCTAATTTTTCCTGGTTGTAATTAGTTGAGGTCAACCCTATACCTCCATTGGCTACATCTAGATAAAAACTACAGTGCTTCATCTCCAAATCTGTACCCGTGTTCCTCATATTAGGCCTTGGCAAGTATAACAAGGGAAATGGCAAAAGCAGACAATAGGCAACATCAGGAAGTGCTTTCTGATAACAGCCAGGATACTACTAAGCTACCCATTTGCCTGCTGGCTTGCTTCAGTGGAGAATGAAGAGTATCTAAGGATAGGTACAAATGTTTGGGGTGGTTAGATTGCATTAAAAATGTCTACCTTATCTTAGTTCACCCAAGTGTGGACCTTACACATAGATCCCTAGCTAGGTCAATCTGTGTGTGAACTGTACAGAAGTTCAGGAGAGTTAGATTGATCTAGAAATGGCTGACCTGATCTGAGTTATCTGTGGAGGTAATCTAACTTAGATCAGGTCCGGTGAGACCAATCTAATTGAACTTCTGTATAGTTCCCAGAGCAGCTCCAAGGCTGGGAAAGTCCAGCTGTTGGCCCTAGTGCCAGGGATGCATTTTTTCAACCCCGCCCCCCCAGCACTGGCTATTTTTGTCCCCCCAGGCTGATGGAAGTAAGGGTTTTTTTTGGTGGGTTGTTGTTTTGTTTTGTTTTGGGGGGGGGTGGGGGGAGCAGGTGGGATCAGGGAGGTGAGTTCATCTGGGGGAGGGGGGACAGCTAAAAAAACAGCCTCCTAAATCCTGCCAAACCCCCTGATCCACCTGTTCCTCCCCACACCTTGATTTACTTCAATCAGGCTCCTGGGACTGGTGAATGCTAGTAAAACCATCCCTGGCTGCTGTTTGTGGGATTGTGAGCAGTTTGGTGGCATTGGCCAGGGACAGGGGGGCTGAGGGATTGGGGGGAGATAGTTGGCCTGCCTAACCCTGCCAACACCCACCAATCACCCCAAGCCCCCCAGCAAACACTGCTATCCCCCTACTCCTGACAAACCCTTCTAGACCCCCACCAACCCCACTGCAGAGCCTGCTTGCCCCCCAACCCTCCCAAAAACCCCATTTGCTCCTTTGATCCCTCCACCCCCTCCCTCAGATCCAGTTTGCCCCCCGCCAGTCCCCTCCCAACCCACCATTCCAACTTAGCTTAGACTGGGTGGTCATTTTTAACCTGAATTAACTTGTCCCCTAATCTCCCTGAATATCTATATATACACTTAGTGATCTACTAAGAGGCTTGCAGAGCACTGAAGATGTTTTAGGATGCCATTACCTGCATGGAATATGCCAAGTGAAAGACTGTGATGGCCACAATATGGATGTGGTCTGCGCTCTGAAGTGTCAAGGCAGAACTCTATACAGATTTGGGAGCTAAACTCTTTGAATAAAACCAAGCAACTTTATGCTTTTACCTGCTTTTTTCAGTCTTTAGTTACATAAAATTCTGCTTCTGAGCATGCCCTCAAATGCCTCAGCTTTCACAGTACCCCAGTGGGATTCACAAACTTGACATTCCTCTGCCTATCTCACCTGAAGGGTTCAATCCTGCAGATGTTCTCAGAGTGCACTTATCAGCCCAAACTTAGCACAAAATATAGTGGGAGAACTTTTAGTTCAACAAGCAGCTAAGGAAGGAAATGACCCCATTTATATCAGAGGCTAGTGGTTAGGATCCTTACCTGGCATGTGGGATCTGCCTAAAGGGGAGGGCAGTATGTCTCAACTCAAAACTCCCACTTCCCAAGAGAGTACCCTAAAATACAGGCCATCACCATTCTCTCTCACTAATGTAGTTCTAGTTTACATAAAAAGATAAAGAAAGAGGGAGCATAATTCCCTAGCCCAGCGGTGCCCAATTTCTGGCCTGAATGCCAGATCCAGCCCAAGGAGCTGTGTCATCTGGCTTGTGGGGCTCCCCATAGGACTGGAAATTTGGTGGCAGGTGAGCAATGGCAATTAACATTGCCACCACTCTCCAGCTGCCAAATTTTCAAGTCCTGCAGGTAGATGACCTTTACCCATTGTGCCAGATTGGGCTGGCGCATGGGGCCAGGGCAGTGGGTCCCATCCAGCATGCACAGTACTGGGCTGGAGTGGCAGGCCCAATCTGGTGGATAGGGCCCACCCCACACTGGATTGGGCCCACAGACTGATCCCATATACCAGATCCCGCCCACAGATCACTCGCCCACAGCCCAGACAGTTGGACCTTGCCCTAAGCTAATGCTTATTGATCTCACCTGGGGTATGTGAGACTGAGCATGCCGTGCAAAACC